GGTAATATATAGATCAGCGCGTGCACTGCAAGCCCGATAAAGACGCACGCCTTTAGGCGCACGCCCGCAACTAAGGACGAGCGCGCAAAGGAAAATGGCAAGCGACTGGGGACGAGGCAGGTCTTTTCCACCATACGAGGGGGGGGGCATGGTGAAAAAAGTGCTCATGGTTGAACCAATAACTTTTCGGTTGTATGGATCATTTGGGCTGTTCACCAAAACTTAAGTAACGTGATTGGTCGATAGCATAAGCTATCAATGTAAATTTTGAAAAGCTGGTCAACCATTATTAGCCAATGTCCAAGTAACTGCACACTTGAACGGACATTTGTCAGAGCCAAGCGAAATTGTTACAATCGACACTGTATGGTACTCTGACAGTTAATCAACTGTAATTTCGGAATTGAAGTATCGTACAAAAGCAAAACTTGATTGAACTCACCCAAGGAGAAACACTTTGCGTTATAAAATATGCAAACTGATAGAGAAAATATTCCACTGCACCTAAACCAAAACATGCATTTTTATTATTTTGTCAAAAAATCCCGGAAATTTTAATCAACTATAGCAGGTACAATACACATCTGGGGCCGGTTGTTCAAAGCTGGACTAGCGCTAACCCTGGGTTAAAATTTAACCTGCTGTTTTAATTTGTGTATTTCTGCACGTCTGTTTATTTCAAAACTTCAGAGAAGTAATCTCCTACTGATTCAGACAAGATTTCTGAAGAATATTTCCAAATTTATAGACAAGCTGTCAGGAAGTTTGCTTTAAATTTTAGGTTAACCTAGAGTTAAGCTAACCCAGCTTTGAACAACTGGCCCCAGGATTATTTTGGGCATCTCACACAATTGAACTAATGTTGATGGATTTTGTAGATGGGAATGGACCTTTCCCCTTATAACTAAAATTTTGATCTAGACAAGTCTAGAAAAGTTTTTCGTTGCAAAATGTTGTAAAATGCGGATAAAATAGCCCTGCGAAATTTGCAATTTTCAGTCATTTTGTATTACAAACGGGAAATTGATGCCCCAACACCCGATTGGGCTGTCAATTTCCAATGCGTAATACAAAATGACTGAAAAACGGCAAATTTCGCAGGGCTATATTATCCGCATTTTACAACATTTCGCAACGAAACTTCGGAATATTACTAATTTTGTGATGCTCTTTCAAGCTGTGATGAAATTTTTGTCTA